GGTTTCTCAAGGCTAGAACCATTCTTCTTTTTCCAAAGTCCAAATTCTCCCTCCCTCCCTCCCCTCCACCAACCAAGGTGTCTCCAACACTTTATCTTCACATGCTGTTGTAGAATCCTGTAGGGAAAGTACTACCTCTGGAGTATTCACTTCTATTGCTTATAGTCATAGTCAAGGATTGAGAGCTGGAAGGCATCTTAGAGGCTATGTTTAGATCAGGAGGATCTTGAGGGTGGAAAAAATCAATATCCCTTGGGTCAGATTGCCAGCCAAATGCTCTGGGATGTGTCCTCTCCTGATCCCTCCCAATGAGGAATGAATGAATGAATGAATGAATGAATGAATGAATGAAAGACAAAGCATTTATTAAGTCCTTACCTCATACAAAGCACTGTGCTAAGTGCTGGGGCTACAAACTGAAAAGATCAAACTTAGGAAACTTCTCCTCAAACCTCACATAACATAACTTGCTTATGAACTTATATAATATTGTGTGTTATAGTCATCTGAGTTTGTGTGTTATCACCTTAGCTGACTGACCTTCCTAACTGTAGTAAACAAGTCATATCCAAGTTAGTACCTATGAATACAAACCTCCACCCTAGCACTTAGCACATAGAATATAGAATAATGTTTAATGCTTAATAAATCTTTGTTGAATTAAAACAAAGAACATATGGGATTGTGTCTATGTCATGGCTGAGAGAGTTAAGAGGATCATAGAATTAGAGTGGGAAGGGTCTTCATAGATCATCTAGTCAAATTCCCTCATTTTACAGATGAGGAAACTGAGGACCCCAAGAGGTTTTAGAAAGCTGCTCAAAATCACACAAGATATTAAGTAAGCACCCGGGAGAGCTGTAATTTGAACGCATGTCTCCTGACTCTAAATCCAACACTCCATTGCTCCAAGATGGAGGTCATTGGACTCCAAGTCTAATGTTCTTTTCCCTCAGGAGCAGCCATTCAGGCCTGCACAAGCTTCTGCCCTCATTTACAACCTCTAAGCTCCACCATCCACTTGGATCACATAATTAAACTAAAAGTGGGGATCCTAGGGAAGGAGTTTTGGGAGCCTTGGACACTTCCATTCAGCCAGAAGGCTAAATTCCTTGGGTATCACCCTTGAAAAATATAATTACAGATTCAGGGGGAAGAAGGGGCCAGGCCAGGGACTTGATTCTTGTCTTGATTTGTACATTGTCTTGAAAGCTTTATAGCATTGTTATCGCTGTTCAGTTGTCTCAGTCATATTCAACTCTTTGTGACCCCATGTGGGGTTTCTTGGCAAAGATCCTGGAGTGGTTTGCCATTTCCTTCTCCAGCTCATTTTTTTACAGATAAGGAAACTGAGGCAAACAGGGTTAAGTGACTTGCCCAGGGTCACATAGCTAGTAAGTGTCTGAGGCCAGATTTGAATTCAGGAAGATGAGTCTTCCTGACTACAGGCCCAGCACTCTATTCATTGATCATTATTACTGGGAGAGAAGCCTAGATTTTTGAGTGAGGACTGTCATGGGGGAAAGGTCCTGAAAGCAGTAGCAGTTCAACTTACCTGATATGTGTGATTAACTATGTGTAACTGGAACTCTATGGGTGAAGTCAGAATAATTACACAGAAGCCAGACTTTTGATCTGCTTCCAAATATACCTGCTGAGTGGGTAGAGGCATCTTGCTGAATTATCAGAATGGTAACTGTGAGGGATCTTGAGTATGGAAAGGGTGGGACTCCTGGACTCTGAGTAGAAAGTGGGATCTGAGAAGGAGAGGTGGGGGAAGGGAGGACACTTATGTGTAGGGAAGGTGACTCCTTGTGGACCATGGTCACAGATTAGGCCATTTTGAATTAACTTCTACCTGTTCCTTCGCTCTCCCTCATATGTACATAGGGAGGTAGGTCCACAAAGATAGAACACCTGTCAATTCCCCTTCCCCTAGCCTAGCCCATCTATTCAGGGGCTTAGGAAGGATTGGGTAAGAGGAACAGATAGACAGGAATGGGATTGTGGGTGAGTCACTTGTCTCCTCTGGATCTCTTTCTTTACCTAAACCTCTTATAAAATCCTGCAGCTCCCTCTCTACCTTCAGGTAGAGGTGTGTGTATGTGTGTGTGTTTTTAAACACATACAGTAAGCAGAGGAACTGGAGGATGGGCAATGCTGCTCACCTTACTGATTATGAACAATGTGCCCATAGTATGACGAGAGGCAGCCTGGAGTAGTGGAATGGACTCAGGAGTTGGGGTCAGGAGACTTGAGTTCAAATCCCAGCCTTGACATTATTAGCTGTGTAATCATGGTCAAGTCTCCTTGAACCTCTTTCCTCACCTATAGAATGGGGATAATAATACTTGTACTATCTAACTCTTTCTGAGAAAGGCATTGGTCCACCCTAAGGTGCGATGTGAATGAGTTCCACTGTTCATCGTCTTCTCAGGAGTTGGATGCTTTGAATTATGGGGACCTGTATTTGTACTCTCCCAGCCATGCCACGTACACTTGGCCGATTTTTTATATCTCTTGCTTTTTTCCCTATGTTTGTCTAATTCCTGGTTAAAGACTATAAGCTTTTTGAAGACAGGAGTTCCATTTGCTATTTCTATTACTGTTCAATAAGCCATTTAATAAGCAACTACTAAGGGCCAGGCATTGAAGATACAAAGACAAAAATGAAAATGATCCCTGCCTTCAAGGGGCTTATGTTTTCTTCTTATAGTAGTAAGCTCAAGGATCTCTGCACATAGTAGGTGATTTTTTCACACTTGTTCACTGAGTGACTGGCATTGTATACACACATTCAAATAAACACTGAAGCACTCAGGGGGCAAATCTTTTTCCTCCACTATCTGACATAGTCCTCATAATAATCATCTTAATCAACTAAGCATCTCTGGTGTCCCCAGCACCATCTCGGATGCATTCAAAGAGGTTTAAGATATGGTTCCTCCTTTAAATGAACTTACCCAAGCCCCACTTAACAGTCATGCAGACACAGCCAGACTCAGGATTCCTTTCCTTTCACAACAGGGCAGGGATAAACCTCAGATATTTCATAGAAAGGGCCTACCCCAGGAGTTCTCTCCCTAGAGTTCATAGTCAGGCAGCCCAAGTATAGACTTGGTAAATAGGCCCAGCTCAAATACTAGCCATAGGCAATGCCACCTATGTGCCTATAAATGTATACATAAACATAGTATCCCCTTCCCCCCAACCCCATACCTCAACTCCTCATCACAACAACTTAGGCAAGAAGTTTTACCTGTAATAAGCTAACAGGTCATTACTGAGGGCTAGTGTTATGTTTAGAATAATATCTCTAGGGCTGTTATTAAGCCAATACAGTTAGAGATATAGAATAGAGATATAGATGTCAGAGGATCTGAGGGCACCAGAGACTTTGGAAATAATTCAGGATTCCCCAGCAGACAATATCAATGATACTAGGCAGGGGATTAGGTAGGGTAGAAGAGAAATTTTAAAATTATCTGAGGATCTACAGCCAAAGGACACACACATGCACACACACACACACAGACACACACACACGACAAGACACATGGGGTCCCCAGACATAGACAGCTCTTTTGGGTCAGAGGAACAGGGTTGACTCCTCAAAGATCTATCACAGCTGTTAAGAGAGGTGACAAAATCGAGGCGGGCAGGCATGGGAAGGGAAGCAGAGTAGGAGAAGAAAGGTAAAAGATGAGCAGGTGTTGAAGGGCATTCCTGCTCCTCCCAAAGTTCACCTGCTAGAGGTGGAACAGAATCGTAGGCAGGGAAACAAGGCAGGTATTTTTTTCAACTTGGCTGGGAGTATGAGAACCAATTATAGTAGGATGGGAGATGGTAGGGATTGTACTGGGTGGTTGGGGTACTTTCAAATATCTTAGATCAAAACTCATTCTAAAACTACTGCTTGATGCTGTTATTCAACCACTCACTGGATCAGAGGAGTGAGCATACATTATTAAGCTTCTTAATTAAAGAAAAATAATAACAAAAAAACCACACATTAAGAAAGACTTGCCTATAAAGAGAGATTTAAACATGCCAGGTAACAAAGAGACATGTGCAGAAATCGATAGGAACTGTATAGTAGGAGGGAACTCTTTAGAGGGGATGCGGCAGACGGCCGCAGAGTATGGGGTGCCAGGGTCATCTTCCATCTGAGGCTAGGGCGAATGGGGACAGAACTGTGAAAAGTGCCAAGGAACCAGCTGCCTGGTTTTACAGTCAGAGTCACATGGTTTTATTAAGGATCTAGCAAAGTGTTTTTGCAATGGACCAAACAGAGATCTGAGTGTGGTATCTGACCACTCAAATCATCAGTTGATCCAGAGGATAAAGAATCAAGGCTCCCCAACTTGAGGAAGGGTTCCAGGAAGAGGAGCCAGTCAAGCTTTCCACTTCAAAGGCTTAAATTAAGGGAGACTCTATTCATGATGCTCCTTGGCTTATGGAAAGCTAAAGGAAGTGAGGATTCCAGCTTTGATTCCTTGCTTGGCCCACCTCGAAAGAGTTGGTGCTCAGCAGGCTGTGGGGCGGAAAGGGCTGGGGTGCCCAGGCAGTCCTGGCCTTCCTCTGAAGAAGGAGGGTCAGATTGGGTACAGATCCTTGCCCCAGCAGCTGCCCAGCAGTTGGAAAACTCCCACCTCTTTCTCATTCCACATGCCCCTGGCTACTTCCTGCCATACAGTTTTGATTCATGCCAGGCTGATTATGAAGGAGGGGAGAGGAAAGGAAAAGATGCAACAGTTAAAAAAACAAAATAAGGAAAGGGGAGAAAATCTTAACTCATTCTTAAATAAGGGGGGGAAAATAAATGAAAGAAACAACAAAAAAGAATCATTTAAATGAATAACAACAAAAACAAAACCCAAACAAACCAAATCCCCTTTAAAAAAAAAAAAGAACATGGGGGGGAGGGGAGGAAAAATTGCTAAAGACAAATGAGTGTTAGAGCAGGCACGGACAGTTAGGTACAGACGCCATTTACTTACGTTTACCTCGGTGATTGCTATATCAACAATGCTACCCACAACAATCAAGGCGTCAAATGTATTCCATGCATCACAGAAATAGTGCTGCATGAGGCAGAGAAGCCAGGAGAAAAAAGAGAAGAGGAAAAAAAAAACAACAAAAGAAACCAACAACAAAGGAAGAAAAGAAAATAAAAAAAATAAAAAAAAGCATGAAAGGGAGAGAAGAGAAAAAAATAAGAAAAGAAAGAGGTTACGGTGGGCATCTCCAATCACCTTTTTCTTTTTCTTTTTTTAAACCACTCTATAAGTCTGGCAGCTGAAACCTGTGTCACGTTCGGTTCGAAGGGCAGGCGGAGAGGACTGACAAAAGGTGGGTTAGTTCAATGGTTACATACACTCAGATGGGTAGGCCCCTGCGGGCTGGTGGGAAGGGAGCCCACCCGCTCCCTTCCAACTCATTTCTGTGCACTTGGGGCCCATCACAGCAGGGCAGAGCTGGGACATGTGGGAGGAAAAAAAGGAGGAGAAATTCCTGCTTTTTTCCCCCAGGAGAAAGTACGGCGGCTTCAACAAAAGCAATGACTAGAGGGTGGGAGTGGGGGAATACAGGAAATAAAAAGAGAGAGAGAGAAAGGGAAACAGAGGAAGAAAAGGAGGAGGAGGAGGTAGGAGAAGGTGGTATCCTGGGAAGGGTAGAGTAATACTCACATTAGTCTCACTGAGAATGACGTCAATAATGCTGCCAATTACGATCAGGAAGTCAAAAACATTCCAAGGATCACTAAAGTAACCCTACATAAGGGAGGGGCAGGCAGGATGGGGATTAAAAAGGAATGTTAGACAGACAAAAACAGTGTAACATCACCATTAGCATCACCTTCTGCTGCTGGAGTTTCATACCTCAAAATTGTGTGGCCAGGAGCGCAAGGGAAGGGAAAGAGGGTGGTGGTGAGGTATCTAGTCTAAGCCCTCTCCCTTTTCCTGGTCATCCTACCTAATCCCAGCATCCCTCCTAATCCACCCTACCTAAGGGCAGGCAGGAGAAAGGCCGGGGACTTCCTTTTCAGGGGAGTCAAGGGAAAGAGGTGAGGAATAAGGGGAGTGGAAAGTTTAAGTTGAGATTGTCCAGGGTCTCTATTCTCCACTCAGTTCAGCATCTCCCTGGCCTTCACTCTACCAACCCTTACTCCAATTCTTAGTGGTTAGCAGGGCCCATCTCAGAGACTGCAGTGAAAGGGAACTGGCAATCATGATCAATGGGGCTGTGGCCCCATGGATGTTGCTAGAGGTTAAGAGAAGCACTAAAAACCAAGATAACTGCACCCAAATGGGATATCTACTCTACTTAGCTCTGAGGTAGCTCACACAGAGGGTAGGTGGATAAAATAAATGATGGTTTAGATGAAGAAAACATCCACAATGAGCCAGACCCTATTCACATCAAATACAAGTCCCAGCCTTCACAGGCTTTGCTATTGAAAGGAAATAGTTCCAGTTAGCCTCTTGTGTAGGCAGAATGTGGGTATTTCAGGGCTAATAAATATCCCTCCTCCTGATCCCCACTCAGCATCTGTTGATGCCTGGAATTCCACAGTCAGATATTGATTCCTGGGGAGAGGTAACATATTAAACACTTTTAGTGTGAATGAATTTATCAGATTCTTTCCAGAGACTAGGTTTCCTTAGGGATAAAAGTGAGGGAAAGAGCAGGTCATTGGACTTCTAGAGATGGTAAAGGGAAAGAGGAGGTGTAGTTAAGAAGGAAAAGGGCAGGGGCAGCTAGGTGGTGCAGTGGATAGAGCACTAGCCCTGAAGTCAGGAGGACCTGAGTTCAAATCTGGCCTCAGACCAAACACTTGACACGTACTAGCTGTGTGACCCTGGGCAAGTCACTTAATCCCAACTGCAAAAAAAAGGGGGGCACAGAAAAGGGGGAAGGGAAGCTGAGGATGCCTATAAAAACTCACCTACCTCAGAATTTTATCTGGTTGATGCTGTACAGCATATGAATTTGGATATGGGTTTTATATTTTAGATCTAGAAAAGGGAGGCATCTCTATGTCCCCAGATGATACCTGAGGATAGCCTGACAACAGAGGGAAGGTGGTCCCATTGTCTCAAGACTCTATCCTCAGAGCAGCAAACTCATGGTTTCCTACCAGGTACCTGGGCCTTTCCCATTATCTACAAGTGATGGGTACCTACAATACTATGTAGTCTATCCCGTTAGACTATGATTTTCCCTTTTGCACCCTCAAGGTAGCATTTGGGAGGATACCCTGAGAGCCACAATCCAAAAGTTTGGTGCTTGGTGCTCCAGGTAACAATGGCTTGTGACTAGCAGACCCATTAGCGTCACCCTACTAGCTAGGGTGAGTAACATGAAAAGTGCCCACAAATCAATTTTGAATTTCATGGAATAAAAATAATGCAATTAAGACAAAATCAGTAGGTTGAGCTTGAGAATTAATTTCTACAGTGGTACAGGGATAGACTTGGAAGGGACCTCAGAGGGATCCTACTCCAACCTTTGGGAATTTGGGATCCCATCATAGGCACGCATAGAGCAAGCACATATCAAGTATGCTGGCAAATGGTGGCTGGGGGTGGGGGGTGGGGGAGAGAATCCTGTTTGTCATTCCCCAGTGGCCAAATGAGAATGCTCCTCAAGGATGTCCCAGAACACACCTGGCTACTGTCTATGGATTCTATGCTTTTTCTATTCCATTAGAGAGGGCTTTAGAAGGTTACACTCGAATCATTACTTGAACCTGCTGAGGGGAAGTATTGCAGTTTGTGAAAGGTAGGCCAGAGAGAGACTTGTCTGCCTAGAAAAGGAGAGAAGAGAGGGGATTCCTTAGGGAGGGGACTGGGCAGACAAGTTCCAGATTTCTTTATGGTATGGAGGGAGGATGGAAGGAAGTTCCCCACAGCTGTTTAGAGCCCAAACTTCTTCCTTACACTTTAACAGGCCCCTGGTCCCCTCACCTTCTTTTATGTTACTGAAGGAGTGTGTGTATTAAATTGCACCCTCTGAATCCCCCCTTCCCCCACAGGTGGAGCTTCTAGGGGTGGGAATTCTAGGAATTAGTGATGGTGGATGTAATGCTACTCAGAGGTAGGGTCAGAGGCTCAGGCTGCACTATTCATTTTCCCTGTGCTTATCTCAGATGTGTGGCAGCAGGCCTTGAGGGAAATACCTGGATGTCTCCCAGGACAGTTGTAGTTGGGTTGAGGCTAAGAGCTGCTTCTCCATGACTTGAGCTTATTAGCCTTTCATGGAACAACCCCATGTAATTTTTAAGTTAGCTCTTCGAGGTGTGTTACTTGGTAAAGGACAGCCTCTCCCCATCCCACTCCTCAGGCTGAACACAGGGCCCCCTGACCAACCTCTAAATTAGCAGGTGCTAGGCATTAGAGAGGTCCTTTGGGTAATAGGAAACCCAGGCGTCTGATCCACAAATTCTTCATGAATAAACATCTCTTTACCACAGACTACAAGATATTTTCACCATTTCCATCACTTCCTCAGTCATTTAATAAATATGTATATCATATATATTTATGTTATATATAGGTATATGTATTTTCATAAGGCAAGAACTTGGGTTCTTTTATCTCCGCCTGGCTATATCCAGCTCCTTTAACCTCCTAACTTCCCAGCTGTGCCCTGTTTCCAGAGGGAATGAAAAGACATGTTGTCCTAGGCGGCTGCTATTCTTAACGTGGAAAGTCAGGTCATGGGGAAAGGGTGAGCCTCCATTCCCAGGCAGTTCTGCCAAGGGGAAGTAAAGCACAGCCTCCAAAGGGGTTTGGGAAGAGCCAGATGGCGGAGCAGAGGTTGATGGGGACAGGGGTTAGGTGAAGGTCAGATTGTGTCATGACTTCCTTACTGGCTCTCTGGAGCATCTCAGAAAAAGCCAGAGCCTCTGAGATAGAAAAAAGTCTTCTCTACACACCTAGAGCAGGAAACACAAAACAAATCCCCTCTTGATCCCCTAATTTTTCCTCTGGGGGGAAATATCAAGAGCTTTTTATTTCATGGAGGGGAGCTGAGAGACATAGAAAAGGAAGACTCAGTACTTATGCTACTTTTTTCCCTACTCTTAAGATTGGATTTTTGAAAATACTATCAAGTATCTCTGAATACAAATGCCATCATTGTGGGCAGAACAGGGTCTGACTCAGCCCAGGGGGATCCCCACCACCCTACCCACACATTAAGTTTTATAATCTGTTAATTCAAATTCTGTTAGAGGGGAAGGGGAAGGGAAGAAAAGAATGGAGAAATAGGAGCTAGATCAGAACACTTGGTAACAAAACATTACATGGTTGAAGGGGATGGGGGAGAGGGATTGAGATATGTGAGTGGAGGGGAACCATGGTGTTGAAAGAGGAATGAACTGGAATCTCTGCATCCATCTGAGGGACCTGAAACAAAAATGGTGAGATGGGCCCTGGTTTGCCATATCACTGAAAGAGGGAAAGAGGGAGAGGGAGGAAGAGAGGTAGATAACAAGACACAGGAAAGATGTTGAAAACCAGACAAACAAGGAAAGGTTAATCAGAATAGCTGCCTTGTGCCAGGAGAGCGGATGAAACTTAAAGCGACTCTGTCAACCTCCTGGTTTACCATCAATTGTCTGTATTATCCTTGGACTTTGGAGTGGGGTTCAGGGTCATGGAGCTCAAAGAAAAACGTGCCAATTCTCCCCTCTTCCTTTTCCTCTAGTTTGGCCTGACTGTTCTTGGGGCAATGCCTCCTGCCCCATCCCCACTAGGCTGTGTTTCTTGGAATGGCAGGAGCTAGCTGGCTCCCGAGTTGGATTTTCCTGGTTTGTGCTAGGCCACTTGAGCAGAGGGCTTCTGCTGACTTACTGCTCCAAGGACCTTTATCATTTTTTTCCTGTCATTGGAGGCTTTTTACCAAACAATACCATGATTCTTTGGACCCAGCCCTCACAAACACAGCTTGAAAGTGGGGGAGTGGGAGGGAGGGTAAAGGAGAAGGGAATGTTGACAGAGCCCCTTTAAGTAGCAGTTTATCTTGATGACCTAGTCCCCAACCAAACTCCCTTCCCACACCCTTTCCATTTTCAGCCCCTATCTTCCTAGCCAGCTGACCATGATTATCTTCAGGCCAAGCCAGTTCTCTCTTATCTCCTTTCCATTTCTCTTTCTTATTCCTAGATACCAGGGCCACCCTCCCTGCCCCACTCCCCAACCCGTTGCTCAGGTTGTTCATGGAAGCTACTTGGCCAGCCTCCTAAATTAGCAGTCCCTGGGCAATAGAGGACCCTGTGGTATATGAAGCCCGGGAGAGTCTAATTCACCAAATTTTCTCTGACAAATATCCCCTTCTGCTTTCCCAATGTCTATTTGGAAATGTTGGACGGGAATAGAAGAATGAGGTATTGAAGGTATTCTTTTTTGGGGGGGGGGCTATAGTATGAAAGCATCATAGGTACTTTCCTTAAAAAATGCTTTTCATTTGGAACTAAATTATATTCATCATCCTTCCTTCCCTGGGGGGTGGGGTGGGGTGATGGTCTTAATTTAAGACCAGTTGGTCTTAAATTTTTTTTAATTTAAAATTTTTATTTTATTTTATTGGGGGTGGGGGCACAATGGTCTTTAAATTAAAGCTTAAAAATTGTGCCATGATGGAGAATGTGGTGGAATTTGTTGATTTTGATTCCACTAGATCTCTCTTTGTTCACCTTCACAGAGCCAAGAAGGGTTGCTCAGATGGCTAGCTATACATACTCCCTTCTTTTATCTTCTTTCCAGTC